ACCCTTGCATCCCTGGGATGAAGCCTACTTGATCATGGTGGATAATTGTTTTGATGTGTTCTTGGAGTCTGTTTGCCAATATTTTATTGAGTATTGTTGCATCAATGTTCATGAGGGAGATTGGTCTGTAGTTCTCTTTCTTTGTTGCATCTTTGTTTGGCTTGGGAATCAGGGTAATTGTAGCCTCATAGAAGGAGTTTGGTAACGTTCCTTCTGTTTCTATTGTGTGGAACAATTTAAAGAGTATTGGTATTATTTCTTCTTTGAAGATCTGGTAGAATTCTGCGCTGAAACCGTCTGGTACCAGCCTTTTTTTTGTTTTGGAGACTTTTAATGACTGTTTCTATTTCCTTAGGGGTTATTGGTCTATTTAAATAGTTTATCTGGTCTTGATTTAACTTAGGTATGTGGTACCTATCCAGAAAATTATCCATTTTTTTTAGATTTTCCAGTTTTGTGCAGTACAGGTTTTTGAAGTATGACCTGATGACTCTCTGGATTTCCTCAAATGTTAGTTGTTATGTCTCCCTTTTCATTTCTGATTTTGCTAATTTGGATGCTCTCCCTCTGCTTTTTGGTTAGTTTGGATAAGGGCTTGTCTATCTTGTTGATTTTCTCAAAGAACCAACTTTTTGTTTCATTGATTCTTTTTATTGTTCTCTTTGTTTCTATTTTATTGATTTCAGCTCTCAATTTGATTATTTCCTGGCATCTATTCCTCCTGGGTGACTTTGCTTCTTCTTGTTCTAGGGCTTTCAGGTGTGCTGTTAAGTCACTAACACTTTAAAGGAAGATTTGTGATATGTAGATTGGTACCCTATAATCTAGCCTATAGCTGTATGGAATATAGCTATTCTAGCTGTAGATAGAACACTTTAAAAGGAGGCTTTGTGATATGCCAGTTTTATCACAACCAATTACTGATTGAGCTCCTCTTGGGTTTTGTTGTGATTCTAGATGCTAGATGCTGAACACAAAGAAATATGAGCCCACTCTCCTAAAGCTTCTCTGTTAGTGGCACTAGGCATTATTTAAATAAAATCACAGTAATATGTGGGAAAGATGCAGGATTCACTGAATGTATTAAAAGGGTATCTGAGTCAATCTGGCACTGGACAGCTCTGAGAAGATGGTTTTGCCTTGATACCTTTTTATGCTTTGAATCTTCAATGTTTCCTAAAGTCTCGTGTATTTGAGGTGTTGGCCAGTCTATAGCACTGTTGAGAGATAGGAGAACATGTTGCAGGTGGAGCCTAGTGGAAAAAAGTTAAGTCACTATGAGGACATACTCTTGAAGGGAATATTGGGGCCCTATCCCTTCTTCTCTGTCTCTCCTCTTGCTTCCCAGCCACCATAAGGCGAGCGGGCTCCTCTGCCATTCCTCCTGTCATGAAATATACTCCCAACCACAGGCCCCATAGTGACTGGGCCAAACATCATCTGAAACCTAGAGACCATGAGTAAAGTAAATCCTCCATTAAGTTGATTGTCTTAGGCATTTTGTCATTACACAAGCAAGTGCAATGCATGTAAAGACTTCATTGAGAGGAAACTGTTATGCTCAGGAAATTCAGAGAAGGCTATTGTAACTGGAGTGCAGAACTGAGGCAAGAAGTGTAGGGGGAAATGAGTCAGGAGCAGACTGTGAAACCCCATAGAAGCCTGGTAAGAGTTTCTGGTTTTCTAGGTAGGGGATGATGCAACATGTGCCAGGCGGTCAGCAGCGGAGAGAGGGAATGTGGCATCCAAGGGGCTTTTAGGGGATAGTACCCATACAGTTTGATGAGCGCCAAGGCAGAGAAGGTGAGAGGGAGAGTGTAAGCCACAGCTCTTAGATGTAGCTTTTGAAAATGAAAATGGGGGAGTACAATTGTAAGCCAGAAAGTTTCTCTTGGAATACACATTGTTTTGAGCCACCTCAGGAAACATGGCTGCTTGCTTTCTGCTGAGAAGTTTCGTTTTCTTACTAGGCTAGTCACACATGTTAAAGAATTGTGCAGTTTACTGATAGCAAATGTTTTTGGAAAAGTATGAATTTAAGAGAATTTGGCAAATACATTTTATAACATTGGCCAGATTAATTTTGCTCTAAGCCTTGTCCTGGTAAGAACCCCAGTGTCTTTTGTCCTTGGCCCAATGCTGTGGAGATCATCTGTCATGTAAATTTCCTCATGTTTCTGTAAGTAATGAAAGCAGACTCTGAAGTAATTGTCTGGCACATAGCTACCTTCCAGTGACAGCTCTTTGGAAGAAGTTCACTTTGAGCCATTTCTTATTTCCTTGGCCAGCCAAAGTCCTCAAATGTCAAGTTCTTCAGTGTTTTTATTACGAAGTTATTTGAAGTTATGGTCTTACATTATAACTTCTAAAAGCTACTTTAGCAATTTAATACTATGCTGAAATAAATTTTAAGTATTTAGTTAAATAATTTTAATAACCCCAACTTTTTTCGAATGCCCACTAAAGAATCTTTTATTCTGCACATTGTTGGATTTGGAACACTCGCCTTCAGAGCCAACAAAGTGGTAGAAACAAGAACATCATGCAGATGAGTGCAGGTTAAGTTCACTATACTGGGGATGTTGAACATTACTGCTAGCATACCAGTAAGGGACAAACAGTATAGGTGTGTAAATGCCCTCCACACAGCAAAGCTGGAAGGAAATTTAACTTTAAGTAAGAAAGTTAAGAAGTCATTTAGAGATAACAGTAGTGATTTGACTTTTGCCACCCTTTTTGTGGGATAGTGTCATCAACATTTATTCCAGTGAATAGCACACAGGAAGGAATAGGAACTTGGTGCCCAGTCTTTCCATGAGAATACTGAAATCCCCTCCATCTAAGCCCTTTAGTTGTATTACTGTCCAGAAAGGCTCAGTAAAGCTTAGCTGTTTATTAGTCATTGTTATGTGTATCACATTGTTTTCTACATGTGCTTAATCTAGGGTGCATTGTAATTTCTGAGAATTGTCACAGGAAATGGAAATTTTGTAAGAAAAGAACAGATGATGAAGGTAAAGGACAAAACATGGTGCCTGTCCATGAGCCTCAAGAACATATTTATTCATTGTGTGAGCTTAGATGGTTCACATAAGCCATTTGTGTCAGTTTCTTTATATGTAAAATAGGGATCATAGAAATACCCATCCCATGGCTGTGATACAAATTAAACTACGACATGCTGAGAATACTGCTTGGTACACTTAATCTCAGATATTCATGTCATTTATTTATTTATATTTGCTGCAGTTGTTATGTTAGTAGTATAGCTTACGCCTGCCTGTACATTAGAGCTTAATTCCAGCCTAGTGGTGGTAGTGGGCTTCCTCATGTGGGGGTGGGGCTAGGATGGCCTTAAAGATAAGGGTACTTAGCCACTAAGTCAGTGGTTCTCAGCCTTCCTAATGCTGTAACCCTTTAATATGGTTCCTCATGCTGTGGTGACCCCCAACCATAAAATTATTTCAGTGTTATAAACATTGTAAACATCTGATATGCAGAATATCTGATATGCGACCTCCAAAGGGGTTGCTACCCACAAGTTGAGAACTGCTATACTAAGTGGCATGAATCAGATGTTCAAACTATTGAATTAGGATAACAGACTATAATTCATTAGGCCACCTTAGGCCTGGTTTTGTGAGGCCTGCAATCTAAGAATGTGGGGTTTCTTGTTTGATTGGATTTGCTTCCCCCGCCCCCTTCAGACAGCTTCTCACTATGTCTCCCTGGCTGACCTAGAACTCTTTGTATAGGCCAGGCTGGCCTGGAACTCAGAGTCTGCCTTCGCTTCCCAGGTACTGGGATTAAAGGCTTATGCCATCATGCCTGACTAGTGGACTTTTACATTTCTGAATTATTGGGGGAACCTAAAAGATTATGCTTGTAACAAGTGAAAATTAGACAGTTTGGTTTCAGTGTTCAGAAAAAGGTTGGAGTAATTTTGTAGATATCCTTGGTTGTTTTAGTAGCAGGAGTAGTGAGGAACAATGGGCACCTCAGAGCCACAAAACTGAAAATAGTTGCTGAGCGTTTACAAAAGTTCCCAACACTTGCTTTGTGTGGTCATTGGTTGTGTTAACTAACAAATAAACTCATAATTTTTAACTATCCTGCTTTGACAAAATATGAACACATATATACAGAAGCATATGATTTTCACTAGCCATTTTTGTGGCCATAAAATATCTATTCCTGTTTTTCAAGTATGTGTCTGTATGTGGGAATATTCATGAATGCATGTGCCCTAGGAAGCCAGAGGCATTGGATCCCCTAGAGCTGGAGTTAAAGGTAGTTTTGAGCTGTCAAATAAGGATGCTAGAAATCAAATTTGGGTCCTCTACAAGAGCAGACAGTGCTCTTAAATGCTGAGCCATCGCTCTAACTCCAGGAAACTTTTATTTTGATATGATTTAGAGAAAATATCAGTTTCTGTCTTGCTTAAGATTGCCTTAAAGCTAGAATGCAAGTTTATGAATAGCTTAATTCAGTTGTGCAAATATTGACAGAGCCCAAAGCCTTACATTTTCATTAGTGATTGTTAAGATTTGGCTTCTTCTCATTAATAATCAAGAGCAAAAACTGATGTGTGAGTGTATGAGTATGTGTGTCTGTATCTGTGTGTGTTGAGAAGTTTGTTAAACTTTTTTTTTTTTTGCTTATGATAGGTTTTGAGGCAATCTAACAGTAATCATTTTCAGTAACAGCATGCCTTTAGAATATAGTAGTAGTAGAATCCCTTCAAAGTTCTGTTAAAGGTTTTGCCTTTGTGACTCAGAGTTTAGTTTTAGGAGGCCAGAGGCTTTGAGCATTATGCTCAGAGGACATATGCTTTAATTTTGTCACACCAGTCAGTCATTTGGGCAAATAATCTTTGTTCCTGTCTTCATCCTGTGTTTAACTGTGTGGACTTTTGTTTATTTGTTTATGTAACCTTTATAAAGTATTGGAAGTATTTTGTCCTAGAATATCTGTAAAGTCTTGTGTTTCCTTTTGTTTAGGTCTGTATTCTTTAAAGTGGATTTGTCAAATGTACTTGAAAGATGCATCTCCAAGGACCTTGGAGTAATGGGATCAAGACAGAGGTGAACCCTGCCCTTGTAGAGTCTTGAGTCTCTGGAGGAAGACACACATTAAATTACATCAATGTAAAGATGATCTGTATTTGGAGAAGAGAACTAAATTTTACACGGGCAACATAACATCTCAGGACTTCAGCTCATCTCGGTAAGTCAGATTACTTGTCTCTTTAGATTATTTTTCTTTGGAGTTTTGTGCTGACATTTTAATTGATCTGTTAATAAACTGAAATTATTTTCAGTTTGGAAAAAGAAAGACAAAAAGTTGATGAACTTACATATAATGTCATCTCAATAGAACTACAGTCTAGTAAATTTAATGGTTGATAGATAGATTTTGCATAGATGATTTTTCTAGAAAAGTATTTGAGTATAATGTCACTGTGAAATTAGAAGACAAAGGCACAAAGAATTTTAAGTACTCTCAGTTTATCTTACTTGAAAATCAAAATAAGTATTTGCCCTTGAACAGAAAAGGATCTTAAAGAAGATTCTAGCTAGCAGTGGTCCTCTCTTTTATAATAATTACTGACTGGTTATTGAGTGTATGTGGAGTGTTCTTGCATAAACCTGAACAGTGTAGCCCACTTCACACATGTGTTATATGGCATAGTCTATTGCCCATAAACTACAAACCTGTCACCTAACTGGATACTGTAGACAATTAACACTTTCCTGTGTGCACATCTACTTTTAGAAACAGTACAGGAAAAGTAAAGCTAGCATACTTATGTAGGACGGACATCTGAGTAGAACTTAACTGAACCTACCTGAAGGTGTTCCTAGTCAGTAAGGAAGTGGAGCATAAGAAGACCTGGCCTGAATGTTTCCTCTGGTTGCCTCTACCCTAAAGAGAAACTCAATTTACTTTTAAAACTTTATTTCTTACTTTGATTTTATTTCTTTATTCTAATTAATTCAGTAATACTGTTACTTTTTTACTTTGTTAAATTTTACCATTTTTTACATGTTACTTCTTTTCTGGTGGTGCCCGGCTGGTACTCACATGCCATGGCCCAGATGTGAAAGCTAAAGGACAACTAACAGGAGCTGGTTCTTCTTCACGCTGTGGACCCCAGGCATTGGACTTGGGTCATGAGGCACCTTTACATGCTGAGCTATCTCACTGACGTTTTAGAAATCTAGTCATTCGTAATAACTGTATAAAACACAAGGACATTACTAATACAGCTAAACAAAAATATTTTAATAGTATTATTCTATAAGCCTTTCCTTATAATTTTTAAAAATCTTTTCACTTAACTTTTTTGTTAAAAGCTAAGACAAACACACACATTAGTCTAGACCTCCATAGGGTAAAGATCTTCCTTAGTACTGTCTTCTACTTGTACTCTGTGTCCCATTAGAAGGTCTTCAAGGACAATGACTCACATATAGCTCTCACTCCTATGAAAACAATATCTTCTGGAATCCTTCCACAAAGAACTGCACTAGGATTCTGTGAAAGTAACTTCTATTTTTAATAAGTAGAAGGAATCTGTTGTGAAATATCCATGATGAGTGTAATGTAGTAAATGCCCAGTTAACAGCAGGATTGACTGTCACTACCCAGTCCTATAATTTTGCATGACTATGTGTGCTGTCTCTGTATGACTTGAGCGGGTTTCTTTACAAGGCCACTGCAGACTTTATGCTGTGATTTTTCTAGGTGAGAGGAATTTTTCAGCTCCTGACAGTCATGAAACCTGTGGGGGTTCATCTTCAGCATCAACCTGATTGGATCCAGGCTACCTGAAATATTAGTAAGGCACACTTCTGGGTTTGTCTGTGAGGGTGTTTCCAGAGATCACTGGGTCATGAGGCCTTGACCTAATGCATGGCAGTTCCTTTATTCATCATACATTGACACTGTTGGGAGGAGGGCTACATGGAAGTAGATCACTGGGACTTGTCCCTGAATATTATATCTTGCCCTTCCTCCTGTGTTTTCCTGAACACTATATTGTGGATGTCTCTGCCCTACCGTTCGCTCCCAACCATGAAGCAGTGATACCTTTGAAACCAGAGCAAACAGATCCTTCCACCTTTAGCTTGTTTTTCTGATGTCACAACAGCACAAGAGCTTGCTGACAGAGACCCACTGTCATGTATGGTCTGTTGTTGACCAGGACACGATTATATGTAGTATGTACTTAGACATGTGAGCTAGTAATGCACACATAGAGAGTGCATAGACATACATACATATATATATATATATAATATATACACATATATACATTTACACACATGTATGTATGTATATATTTGTGTGTGTATATATGTATGTGTCTATGTATGTGTGTGTATATATATATATATATATATATATATATATATATATATTGGACACAGAAAAAGAGGAAGTAAGTGAACCCAAGCTCTACAAGTCATCTCTCTTGCTGATTTAGCATTTCTGGGAATGTGACTTTTTCTTTCTCTCTCTCTCTAAAACCTATTTGGGTTAGAATTTGCCCAGTGTCCCACAACCTTAAGATTATTTCGTGGATGTCTTTCCCTGGCAGTACTTACTGAGGACTGTTTCTGTAGGTCCTCATCACTCCTATTATTCTTATTCATAATAGTTATAAGTTGTAGATCTGTAAGACACAACATTTGAAAGGTTTCCAGGAAGAATATTGAGTGGAAATCACACTCCACAAATCCTGCTGAAGTATGCCTCCCTGGTCTCTTCTCAGGCCCCGACTTCTTGTTATAGCATTTCGAAGTTATATTTTTGTTTTAATAAGCCCTTTCTTAAACTAAAATTAATTTTCCCAACCAGCCAATTCATAGAAAAACCAATGTTTCCTCAATGCATTGTGGCAGCTGATTGATTTTTGTAATGTTGGCATTTAAGGTTGGATACTAAAATAAAAATAAATTTCAGTCCATTAGTTTTATTTCAGTTTCAGATTTAGACAGCACTAGCTATAGGCAAACCATCTTTCTTACACATTAGGTCCTTAAGCTATAACTCAAGTGTTTCAGGAGAAACCCCTAACATTCCATGTGCTCCCCAGAGCACTGTGTCCCACTCTTTCACTCCTGTTTGCTGCTCTTACTGTGGTAGTGTCCACGTACACCTGGCCTTGGAGAGCACAGGAATCAGTGGCCTTGCTGCTTCAATATCCAAAAGAATATAAGAACTTCTATGTCATTTTTGTGATGGTACGTTTTAGTTAATTCTTTGAATCTGAAGCTACTTTGGTTAACTTGATTCCTTCACTTATCTCTGATATTGACCAGAGCCTGATGTGTGGGAGTTTATCTGGGTGATGGTAGAAGGGATAATGGGGGGTTTCTGCCTGAGTCTGTAGCTGATATTATTCATTAAAACGCTGTCTCTGTAACTTGAATCTTCTGTCCACTGCTCACATTATCTTGAAAATGCCAGCTTTTCTGGTAAGCTGTAAAAAGAAGTGCAGTGATATGTTTCTCAGAAGTAAAGAAACCCAGATCCAACACAGTGACTAGAGTCACTGTTAATGGACAAGACCTAAAGAGCCCTTGGCTGTTATTTCCTGTTTATACTTACTATTTTTGTATTTAATATTTTCTTCAAAAAATGCAGAAGTACAGCAATAAACAGAAAAATTGACATATGCTGTAACAAAAGATATCCCAGTGTCATTGCTGAGTAAGATCAAGTATGTATGTATGTATGAAAATATCATAGTGAAACTCATTTTGGGGCTAGGGATGGAGCTTTGGTAGAATGCTTGCATAGTGTACATGAAACCTTGGATTTGACCACCAGCTTACATAAAACCAGTGTGATGGTGCCTGTATTAGCAACCAGAAGTTCAAGGGCATCATCTGCTACATAATGAGTTTAAGGTCACCCTGGCCTATAGGAGAGCCTGTCTCCCAAAAAAGAAACCTGTGATTTTCTGCAGTTAATTCATGCTTATACAAAGATGTTCCACTCCCAAAGAAACAGTATAAAATTTATATTTTATTTTATATAAATCTATATAATACATATCTAGTATAAGTACTGCATGTTTTGTAAATATTCTTTAATCTCATGTCTAACTTGTCTAGTGTGCTTCCAGAAATTAGCATGCTGAAAAGTTGCCATTTTGCTTAATTGTGTGCTGTATTTAAGACCTGTGCTTCTTAACTACTGGTACCTTTATTTTCCCAATAAAAGAAGCACTTAACAGAACTTACTATGTTAAACATCTTAAGTGTATAGTTGAACATTGCCAAGTATATACAACTACTCTACAACTTCTTTGTCATGTAAAACTGAACTTCTACACCCATCAGCTTCCTCTTCTTCCAGAAACTACCATCTGCTTCTCTTTCTGTTAAATTTAACTACCCTCGTATGCGAATAGATTCTCACAACATTTGTCTTTTTGTGTCTGCCTTCAGTGTTTATCCATGTTGTAGTATTTTAGTCTATACTAGAGTTTGCCTCCTTTGTAGGGCTGAATAATATTCTATTGTATGGGCATACCACACTTTGTTTATCCTTTTATTTTTTACTGTTAGAAATAAGGTCATTTTACTTCTTGGCTATTGTGAATAATGAATGAACCTAGGTGTGCATATTTTCTCTTCAAGATCTTACTGCCATCCACCAGGACTTTTAATTTCTCTATATCCTTGCCAAGACTTATTTTGTGTTTTTGTTCTAAGCAATAGCTATTTTAATGACCATGGAATAATTATGGTTTTCATTTCTGTTTTCCTAGTGATTAGTTATATTGAAGATCTTTTTAATGTGTTTGCTGGCCATTTCCATGCTTTCTTTGGAGAAATCTCTCTTTAAAATCCTTTGACCATTTTTTAATTTGAATATTTTTATTCTTTTAATAATTTCATGTACATATACAATCTATCTTAATCATATCCACTTCAAGATTTCCCTCCCACTCCTCTAGCAACCTTCCCAACGTGTCTCCATCCAACCTTCATGACCTTTTTTTAATATTTACCCAGAGAATCAAATTAGTGTTACCTGCATGTGCATGACTATGGAGCTGTCTACCAGAGCAAGAATAACCCACCAGCCCCAAAGAAAATGACTTTCCTTTCCCAAGTAGCCATTAGCTGCCAGTAATTCTTCAGCCAGGGGTGGGACCTCATGAGCCCCTCCAATCCATACTGGAATGTTGACTGGCTTGCTCTTGTACAGGTAACCACAGCTGCTCTGACTTTTTGGATGCCATGTCACATCCAAAAGGCCCTATTTCTCAGCATTCCTCCTGCCGTCTGGTTTTTATATTCTTTGTGCTCCCTCTTCTGTAATGGTCCCTGAGACTGGAGAGGGTAAGTTTGATTGTCCCTTTTAGGGCTGCACATTCCCTGGTTGCTTAATCTCAGCAATTTGGCCAGCTTTGAGTCTTCGTATTAACGTCAGGTCAAGATTTAGAGATGCGCTAATCTTTGGGTATAAACATAAACATTTAGAAGACAGTTTAACAACATGACCATTTAGCAAAACAATAGCAGTAGGTTCCCTACTAGGGCCTATGGCCTATGGCCAATCTTGGGCTTTTGACCAGCTGAGCAGTACCAAGCATGAATTCCCTCTGTGTAGCAAGCCTTCAATCCAGACAGAAAGCAGTTGGTCACACATATAAAACAGTCATACCACTATTGTATCAATGGGCATATCTTGTCTGGCATGTCATTATTGTAACACACAGGTCCACTGTGGATAAGACTATTGGTGATTTTTATTTGCTATGAGCCTGCATCATACCTCCTGGTACAATGAAAGATAACCTAGAAGGGAGAAAGTTTCAGGTTAGTTCCAGCTTGATTTCTCTATTTCCAGCAACTAAAATGTGTGATGTCTTCAACAATAGTTATAGTGGCTTTTCCCCATTTTTAAACTTACTGTTTTTTTCTTGGTTTGAATCCTATCTTTACAAATTCTGGATATTAGTATTTTGTAAACTTATTATATGCTTTGAAAATAACTCTTCCCATCAGTTGCCTTTTTATTATTGCCTTTGATGCACAGAAGTATTAAATTTTATTTATTATCTATTTTCATTACCTGTGAGTTTGTTGTCATATCTGTTACATTTGATTTTGATCATTTTATCTTCACTATTGTTTTAAGATACTAAGAACAAAATATAATGAAACATTTAACAATTAATTTTAAAAAGTTTTATTTACTAGTTTAAAAGTTTGCAAAATGTTACAGTTTGAAGTACAAACTGTGTTGAAATAGGGATTGATGGGATAGATGGTGGAAATGTGGCAAAGAAATGGAAATAGAGGCTGAGGAAAGCTCTCCTCACAGTGTCCTTTGAATTAGTATCTTGGAGTGTCCACAGTAAACTGATATGGAAATCCTTACAAGGAAATGGCTCTTTGCTGCTTTCATACTCTTCTCACCTTTCTGTGACCTCGTATCTCATATTCAGTTACCATTGCCAGCAAAGACATTTGAAATCTTATTCTGAAGTTAACTTTCAAATGTAGACGGATAAAAGATGTTCTTAAAGTACTTAATGTTATCTCAACTCATGATTACATCTGATCAGCAACAGGACCACTTACACTAGTTGCTAATTAGTGGTTTTCAAGCCCATCAGCAGTGACCAAGGTATCTAGAAACATCTCTGTTGAGTTCAGGAAAGTACACGAAGAACCAGCTCTTGAGTGGTTTCCTGTGTCATAGTATCTCAGTTAGAGCTGAAGGAATTTATTTCTTTACCTTCCTTTTCTGTTCCTAGTGTTCTTTTTTCTGCCTGCATTTTCTCTTCTTGCATTCACCATCTCTTCCTGCTCA